TACCTTCCTTCTTTACCTTCCTTCTTTACCTTCCTTCTTTACCTTCCTTCTTTACCTTCCTTCTTTACCTTCCTTCTTTACCTTCCTTCTTCACCTTCCACCTTTCCACCCTCCCTCCACCCTACTGCTCCATACTCCATACTCCATACTCCACACTCCACACTCCACACTAAAATCCCCCTGCTTATGCTAATTCGTGACGCCTAGTATGATTTCTTATCCTAATTATAAATTCATCTTTCCAATCAAGGCGCTGGGTTTGTATGCAAGGAGGTTTGGGGATGAGGCCGTGTTGTGAGGGGAGTTGAAGAGGGGAGGGATAGAGGGATAGAGGGAGGGTAAGGAGATGGGGAGGGGAGAGGGGTGGAGGGACATTGAATATTCAATTACTGCTTTTTATGGTATCCAAAATCCATCACGTGCGTCCAAGTCCAAGTTTAGATCCTAGTCTAACCCCCTACTATCAAACATCAAAATTGGCATGCAAAACTGCCAAAGTCGTACTCTTGGTTCCTGATTCCTAGTCTAGGTATCTAACTTTTCTAGCAATTGTTCAATTCACCTTCCAAGCCCATTTCCTGGGCTGTTTCCTGGTGATGCGATGGTAAGAAGATGGAAGATGGAACACACAACGCACAAGAACCTACAATAACCACCTAACCCCCCTTTGTAAAAATTAATTAGAATGAATACTGAGGAAATGTGAATATAGATATATATGGCTAGACTTAGGACACATAGCTTGGAAATAGCTTGGAAATATGTCTTGAACCTACCCCCTACCCCCCCTTACCAAAAGACACTCCAAAGCCCACGCAATCATCCTCTTCGCCCTCGCCCTCTCGCCCTCCCTCGCCTCCCACACTCAACACCCGGCCCCCCAATCCCCCACCGCTACAATCGACACCGGCCTCCTCACCGGCAAAACTACGCTTCTCCCCTCTGCCCCCAGCCCCGTAAACCAATTCCTCGGCATCCCATTCGCACAATCGCCACCCGAGCGGTTTTCGCCGCCGCGTGCGCCGCACAAGAGCAAAGCACCCCTACGCGCCACCGAGTGGAAACCCGCCTGTCTCCAGCAGTTTCGCTATCCGTTGGCGAGTTCGCAGGTTACGCGGGCGGTGTTTAATAGTTCGCCGCCGGTGGAGTTGGAGGATTGCTTGTATTTGAATGTTTATGCGCCGGTGGGCAAGGCGGGGGGGGAGGGGAGGGCGGTGATGTTTTGGGTGTATGAGGGTGTTGCAGTTTGGGAATGCTGGTGCGTGGGCTTATTTCACGTTTGGAAAACTTGTTGGCTTTTCTGTTCTCCCTTTTCATCCTCTCTTTTCTGGGGGTTCTTGTGCTCAGTGTGAGGGTTAGGTCAGGCGGGGTATGATGGCAGCTCCTTTGCTTCATATGAGGATGTGATTGTTGTTACGACGAAGTACAGAGCCAACGGTATGTCCATGGATCCTAGTGTCTACTTGTCTTTGGCGTAGTTCTGATAATTGCTAGTTTTTGGCTTTCCGGCCGCCCCTGAATTGTCACTGACGGAGCGGAATTTGGGCTTTCTAGATCAACGCTTCGCACTCGATTGGGTGCAGCGTAATATCCACGCATTCGGAGGGGATCCAGACAAAGTCACGCTGTTCGGTGAGAGTGCAGGTGCATTTTTTTAGTTTGAGTTGCAGCCATTCGCGGAATGAAAACTGCACTGACTTTGACTTGCAAGCAATCGACACCCTCCTCACCAGCTTTCCAAAGGATAGTAGCCCGCCGTTTTGCGCCGCCATTCTCCAAAGTGGCCGGTATAGTTATCGTCCTACTCCGTTCGTCTCCAGCATTCCCGCATGGAACAATCTGACTGCTTCGCTGGGATGTCCGGGAACGTACAGCAGAAACTTGACGTGCGTCCGAGCTGCGAATGGGACGGCCATTCAGAACATCATCAATGTCAACTCCCTCGCCTTCAACCCAACCCCCGGCAACGTCATCCTTGTTTCGAACCCCGCGATGCGTCGTCTCAGCGGCGACATTGCGCGTGTTCCAGTCATGGGAGGAACGAATGCTCAGGAAGGACGGTGAGTGCCAGATATCAGATGATATACCGTTCCCTCCACGCTGACCATGAACAATAGCGTTTTTGCACTCGGACAAACAACCTTGACGGCGTACTTGCAAGGTACATTCGGTAGTGCTCCTGCATCTCTCATCCCTTCCATCGAAGCCGCATATCGCACTCCCACCTCCAATCTCACCGAGTACGACATCATTTCACAAATCCTCACTGACCTCGTCTTCCAATGTGTACGTATTCCAGCCATCCCCCTACAAACCCATCCCCCCATCTAACAACCAACCCCCACAGCCAACCGCCCTCTGGGCCAACGCAACCGCCTCCCTCGATATCCCCACCTGGCGCTACTACTTCAACGTCTCCTTCACAAATACCCAAGTCCTCCCCAACCTCGGCGCTTACCACGCCTCCGAAATCCCCCTCGTCTTTCGCACCTACGATTGCGCAAACACGACTACCCAGCAATCCGCACTCGCGCAGTCCATGCAGGCCGCATGGGCCCGCTTCGCTAAGAACCCGCTCGCCGGGCCTGGTTGGAATTCATTGGGGACGGGGGCGCGAGGGGGAGTGGGGTTACGGTTTTGGAGCAGGGTGGGGTGGATGGGAGGTGTGGGTTGTTTAGGGGGGTGTATGAGGCTGTTGTTGGGGAGGGGGGGGGATGCCGGGTTTGTGAAGGGATGGAGAGGGATGTGCGAGTTTTCCGTTCTTGTTTTTAATTAAAGGGAAGTTGACAGACTGGTAAGCAGGCTTGTGGGACTTGATAATACCATGGTATACAAGGGAGAGTATACATACTTCCTCCTCTTATATCATAAACATATTCACCTATCCGTCCCCCCACACTCACCCCCTCCCCTGCCACCAGAACAACCCACTCTACCCCACACTAGCCTACAAAAGTCAGCCCCAAAAAACTTCTCCCATTCATAAAACCATCAAACTCACCTCCCACATCTCAATCTCCACACTCCCCGTCCCATTCCGCCTCAACACCCCCACCCCCACAACATCATTCAGCCATGCATACGGCCCATTCCGCGCCGCCTCAAACTGCCCGCGCACCATGGCGCGCCCGTCCGGTCCCGCCGGCATCCCGGCAGTTTGCACGGTGATGTAGCTGCCGTCGTGCGTGAGGATGTTGTAGCGTGCTTCGGGGCGGAAGGCGCCCGAAGTGTCGGTGAGGCGCCAGTCGGCACCGAGGTTGAGGACGGTGCCTGGGGGGTTAGTTGGTGGGTTAGTTTTGAGGGGAGGGGAAGGGGGAGGGAAGTTTATAGGGATAGTGATTTTGAGAGGGTGGGGGGAGGGAGTGACGTCATTTCTGGTGGATGAGTTATGGGTGGGTGGGAATGGAGTGGACTGAGGGATGTATGGGGCAATTGTTGGATTTCGTAGCCGCATGTTGTTGGTGTTTCTTATTGGGCACTTGCGTTATGCTGGGTATGGCATAAAAAGGTACGTACCGGACATCCGGGGACCTGTAAAAGTCCCGCCAACAATGGGAATCACAATCCGTTCTTCCCCCGTTGGAACGGGACCTAGCGAGAATCGCTCGCCTAGCAAGGCTTCCATACTGTAGAGCAGTGTTAGTTTTGGCGGCATAGGCGCTGTTTGTGCCATGGCGAGTGCGGTGAGGCCTATAAGGGTGATGGGATGGAAGAGCTGCATGATGTGGTTGAAAATGGTTCAGTTCTCATTAGCGAGTAGCCGATGTGAGAGTTACCTATGGTACTTTAGGAACACTGAACACTATTTATTACCTCTGTGGTTCTCGATGCCGGTACTGAGTCCTAGTTCGATGTCGATCGATGCTCGAGGCCGACTGTGGGGAACCCCGCTTCCCCAGAGCATGTCGGGCCGGGGAAGGAAATCCGTGTGAAGGTAGGTACTTGAAATTGGGGCTGATGTATCCATGTTTATACTGGTAAAAGTTGAGATAATGTTTCGAGGTCCTTGCTTGTATGATTTGTGAAACTGTTGGTGGTAATTGCTAGCAATGGAGATGTACCGCCAGGTAGGTTTGTGGAGCGTCCCCCGTTGTTGCTGAATTGTGGGGCTGCTACCGAAAATTGCAAACCTGGTACTTCACGACTCCAGATATCTCATGTACATTGTACATCAGCATATAAAGTTACAGCCGCTATATCTGCTCGTGCACAACAAGTTAAGCTCTAGCAGTTCGATCTGGAATACGAGGGCATGGCAGCAGCCGACCAACCACCTGATGGATGGTACCTGCTCCCACCCGATCTTTTAGAGCTCCAGATTGGACAAATCGATTTACTCCTAGCCATGTATCCCGATGAAGCCATCATTGAAGAAGACTCACAAGAACTTTTGGACCGCTTGCGACTATCCGCAGAAGGTGTGGACGTGAAGTTCGATATTGCACCAAACGTTTCGATATTTCTACGGATAACAATCGACGGCAATCTCGCACAGCATGAATCGTTGCAATTGAATCTCACCTTTTCTTTCATACCCATGGACAAAAGCGACGTCCATGACCCACCACCAGCTAAGATTCGGGCACAACAACCACCATGGCTGAGTAGACTCGCAACAGCCCAAATGATGCGTGAAGTCGAAGATGGAGAGGACTTGTTCAGCACCCTTGAACGCATCAAAGAGCAAGCGAGCCACCAGCTCCAACTATCCAACAACGCACTGGCAGCTCGCTCCTCAACCAACAGTCCAGAACAAGCAGGTCCCCTCGTACGAGTCTGGTTCTACTTCCCCTCCATCAGCACGCGATCCAAGCGCGACGACTTCATCAACCACGCGCCCTCTTACCATCTCACCGGCTTTCTCTACGCCGGAAAACCAGGCCTTCTCTGCGTCGAGGGCGCCTCACAGAGCATCGACGACTATATGAAGTTCATCAAGACAGAAAGCTGGGGCGATATCCCTGCCCATCACAAGAAAGTTAGTGAGCGCCATAGAGAACGTATTGAGAAGAGGACTTTTTCCGATATGACTGAGACTACCAATACTGTGGGCGAGAGACATGGCCAACGGGCCAATCGGGGGGATATGAAGGCGATGGAAGATTGGCTGATAGAACGAGGGTTGGGTGATGCTTTTGCAAAGGTTTTGATGTGATTTAATAAAGGCTGGAAGCACTAGATGCTCATCACTTTGGAGGGATCTCGTGGAAAGAATCGAATGGAGAGCGGATGGACAAGAAACCACTTTCAATCCATGCAACCTGAAAGAGTGTATCGCCATGTTCCCAGTGTGACAGAATCATGCAATTGTACGCTTTTTTTCTCATTACTCCCCAAATTTCTGTCTGAACCGCGACCTACACTCGATTTAGGACATAGTATATTCAATTTCTATCCCATGCTTAAACAAGCCATCGAGTGCGTATCCTTTGTTCGACCACTCCCGCCCACTGCCACCGGACATGCCAATGGATTTTAAACAGCCATGATAGACTCTCCACCGTCCTTCGTAATCCTCTTTCGTATGCGAAGTCCCATTAGACGGCCAGTGGCTTTGACCGGAGCCCCTTCATCGTCCTTCCCAAGTACAGCGCTCGGAGAAAACACGAGTGCTCCACCAGTCTCCAATTCCTCAATCCGGCGCATAATGGCCCTATCATCACCGCCCATTGCACTGATATGCTGTCTCAAGGCGGCATACCATGTTGGGCTTGTGAAACGATGAATCACAGTGAGCGAGCATAGTGCAATGAGATCAGTTGATATTGTGGGCTCTTGTGTAGAGATGATCACACGCCCACCCCAATGTCGCTGAAGGCGTATAGCTGTTTTCAACCGATTGCTAAGCAATTCCGCGCCGGGCGAATCGAGCATGTACTAAGTAAAGAGTGTCAGTATATTTCCAGGCTGATAGCGTACGAAGACAAACCTTGTGCGCTTCATCCAGTACAACAACCTTTGCGGTGCTTTGGGATGAATTTACAAAGCGATCTAATCCTAGCTTGAAAAGAATGCAGGCTGTATTTGGGGTAACAAAGGGATCGGAGAAGTCCATGATTGTCATCTCCCCGGGCAGGTATTCCAAATCGGGGACCTGACCGGTGAGGTCTAAAAAGGACTCTAGCAAATTGAGACGCATGTCTAGCATCGTACGCTGTGTAGGATCGAACTTTTCCCTAGCCAACAAAGTTTTGAACAGCTTGTAGTCCATTGACCCATCCTGGCTGTTGGTGGCGATGGACCGCAGTATGGCTTCTACCCTAGCCATGTACAGAGGTGTATTCGATGTCTCGTTGACGGCCATGAGCGTGAGAAGGGTACTTATATTCAGAGCCTTTGCATCTAGCTTAAAAGGTATAACGCGAATGTTGGCGCCCATGTAGCAATTCTTAATCCCTGGGTTCGAGGGCGATACAAGCACCGTGACCCTCTTCACATGGGCCCCCGGGTAAGCAGGCAAAGCTTCTGCGAGGTAGGTCGCTTCACTGATTTCGAACCCAACGCCACCGTCAGCCCAATCGCTATAGCTGAAGACAAGTGCCGAAGCAGGAGCTCTCAGGCGTCCGAGATGTTTGGAAGGAATGAGGGCATTCTCCAACAGTGCTGCCGTGGTATGGCTCTTGCCACTACCCTGTACTCCGCAGACAAATGTAGAGAATGGGACGTTTGTGTTATGAAAGACTTTGACGGCGGCTGATTCTGCAAATGTCTCATCCTGTAGGCAGCCTAGGAATGCGTACTGCGGAATAAGATCTCTGGCGTGCTCAACGACGATGCTTTGTGACAGAAGCGGCCCATGCCCAATGTCTCGTCGGGGACCCTGAAGTTTGCTATCTGAATCCGAGGTCTGGTTGGAGCTTGGCATCAGTTCGTCCATGAGACTAAAATCTGGTTCCTCATCGTCACTTTCCTGTATGCTGACTGTGCCTGATTCGTCATCAGAATCACTCTCGGAGTCGCTCCCGGATGTAACGTAGTCCTGGAGAGCAGAAGAAGTCCGTGACTCAACGTCCGTATTAGATGCACCTTGCGACTAGAATATTATTAGCCAATACCTTCGTGTAAAATTCACTCAGAGTGAAGTGTTGCTTACATTTGCCGATCCAGATTGAGGCATTGTTGGTGAGACTGCACTCTTGTTCGACCTCCAATTCCCACCTTGAGCTGCCTGTTTCTTCATCTCAGATAACCTATGACCCAGAAGGATTGATGAAATGGATTGACCAGCGTCATTTGTCTTTTTAGGGCCCTCTTTGGCCTGAACGGCTGCTTTTTGGTTTCTACAAATAGTCTCCTTGGTACGGTTAAGCTCAGCTGTCATGGTCTTCTCGACATCCGCTGGCTCTCTGAGACTGAACTTATGTCCAGGCTTGCGAAGCCTGAAATCATCAATGATCAAGTTATTCGATTGAAATAGACAAGTAGCTTACTGTTCTACCTTGCACCTGATTTTTCGCTGTCTGTTTTCGTTTGGGTTCACCTCCATACCGATGAGAATGTCTGCAAAAGCAGTCCATCCCACAAATTTGGAGCCTACAAAGGCTCGTTTGGGATAGAGCTCATGAACATGTTTCGCTAACTTATCGTCTGGAATCTTCGGTTTCTCCATGCCGGTGGCCTTCTGACCTTGCGTCTTAGCCTTTAGAGTCATCTGTCGTTGCAATGCCAGCCGCCAGTGATTATTATGGTAATGAAGCGTTGTCGTACTTCGAAGATAGTTTTCAGGCTGAGGAGTAGACTCAGAGAACCTAGCAATTAAGTAATGAGTCTTGGTCATCAGGCGCACATCATCGATTACGTGAGGGTGAAGGTGAAGTCGCTCGTGGTGACCGCGTAACCTTTCTTCTTTTACAACATACCCGCGGGGAAACCTCCGATAGTTCAGAATCTGGAGAAGTATTGGCAGTTATCTTGGGGATTCAGGAACACCGTCCTGCTTGTATGATTCGTAAAATTGGCCTGCGACAAGCACGTTTGCACAATAGATGATTCTGGCTAGTACACAATGTGTTTTGTAGCAAACAGTTTTAACACACGGCAATCATTAGAAACAAGAGTTACAGCCCCAATATTCCACTTCCCTATTCTTCAAGTCTTTTTATGGCTTGCCTATCGGCTTTTCACACGCAGCTCTAGAAGGTACTGCACGCCAATATTACATCCAGGGAAGAAGCTTTGACCATCTGTGGTCATACCGTACAGTACCGTGCATGTTGATCTGGTACATTCCACCTATCAAGAATGAAGTAATGTACCACTAGATGTATATACACAGATGAGCTCCTGCAAGGCAGCTTGAAATCCAGAATTCAATGCGATCAACATCTTTATTAACTGAAGTTTGCATGTATTTGACGTATTGAGAAATCTGAACAAATGTCTCACAAAGTATCTTCTTGTGAAACGTTTTTCGTGTGATACCTGGGTAATATTGCAGCCTAGTTTGATCCGGATACTAAATACTGTTGTTTTATACAGCATTAAGGATAAATCAATTCCTTGGCATCTTGCACGCATCCCGCTGGAAATTTCACAGCTAACATGTGCGAAGGGACACTGTGAGTTGATCAAAACTAACTGCAATGCGAGAGCATACGTGGAGCGACCAGTGAAATTTTCATTACGTGGCATTGTGCTTATGTAAACTCGATTCATTAGAGCATAACAGTTTAGTCCTACGATGGAAGCTCAGCAGGTGTATATGAAACATTCGTTTTTGACCGTTTCTCCCCATCATTGTCGTTCAGCCGGAATCCACACGCTTTCTCAACTGTTGCACCCGATCTGCTGATTCCTCGTTACTCAACTCCCAGTCATGACTGAACCCATCCAGAACATTGGTGGTATCATCGATGCCACCATTCTCCGAGAGACGCTGGAATCCGCGGATGCAGCCTTGAACCCTAGTTTCGTATCCTCACGCAGTAAAACTGTCCAAGCGAGCTTGTAGGGTGTATTAGGAGGTATTCCCCTAAATCGCCTTGCCTATCGCCCACAAAAACCTTCAACCGATTGGACAATGCTTGACGCACCATTGGTTGCCGGATATCTACGGGTGCGTAGCAACAACATGGACTCGAATGGTCTTATTCTGTGTCGATACATGGAAGAAATCTTCCCTCCTCATCTGTGCGTTCAATGGCAAACTTGGTATTGCGAGCAGATGCTGAAACATGGAATCCATCTTCAGACTGTCACAGACACGGTGGCATGCCTCCCAGGCTCAACACATCCGATCCTGCTTCAAGAGACGGCGGCAAAACTCAAGATCATAGATGATTATATCCTGCGACATCGCAAGTCCTTTTTTGTCCATGCTGTCTACCTAGATCGCTACTCCCGCGCAGATAATCTGCGGTTCTTCCTATTCATCGATCGCCTGATGTCCCTCAATGCTCGCTTGAAGTGTCAGACTATGGCTGAGTTCGTGTCAGAACTCGCTCGAGTTCAGGAACGTTGGGATACCCGAGAACTACGATGTCTACGAGGAGCTAGATCAAATCGTCGCCGATATTAGGCAAGAGGACCACGCACTTACTGGGCAATTAATGGTCATACAGGAACGCTGCGTGCAGCTCAAGAAAATCATTTCAGAATTGATTCAGACTGCAGGACTACATATAACGGACAACACGCCGGGAGTGTATAATTGTAGTATCTGCCAAGTGGATTCACGCACAACATCCTGCCAGTTACACATGCCCATATTGTCGAACCTCTTTTTCCCTATCGACACAAGACTATGCAGAAATACTCAATATCCAAAGAGTCATGACTGCAGGTGAACATATTCAAGAACGAGCTCTGCAGCAGCTTGAAAAATTGTCTACAGATACAAATGACCTGAATGAACTTTATCGAGATTTCATCGATTTCATGGGCAACTGTGAGCTCCAGCTCGAATATCAGGAATATTTATTCAAGGAAAGCTTGGGAATTGATTCGCACGCTCAGTAGTTTAGGCTTGAGGTAGCAGCATCTAGTAACAGGTCGCAATAGCTTCTGTACATCGAAGTTGATATGTGGCGTTTAGGGTGATTACCGACCTTCCCTTACACTGCCTGATTACTTTTCAAGAACAATGTGCCATGTAGAATCGTCGTTGACTTCTAGATATAAAGTCGGTTGTTGTCCCGGACCATAAACAATGTATTCATCTGCTGTTCATGACATTGTATAATGCTCCCGTAGATTTCAGATTTCAGTAAGAGCTTCAAAACGTTTGTGGTTATTACGACCTAAGTTAGCCATGTAAAATCCATGTAGTAATAATACGAACCAAGTGCCGCTTCTGGTTGGCAAGTTTCTCACATCCTGGCTTACGATTGTAAGCCGTGAGACGCTTAGCATTGAGATCGAGATAAATATGTGTAGCCCACCTTTCTGCGTAATGAATTGGCAAAGGACAATGCTGACGGTTCAGCGATCTTTTTCTGCAGATCACTTCGCCAACGACAAAGTTTTATGCCACTAGATTGATATGCATTGTGTGAGGATTCGTACCTAGATTCCATACCTAGATCTCACAGTATGTTGACCTGTATTTCAGCTGTCTGTTGATATCGATATTATGCCACGTATGGCACAAATGAGAAGTAATCGATGTATACTAAGTTAGGCAGGCACAACCCGTCCGCAGGGTCATCACGTGCCGGGTCCAAACGGTTCGGCCCCACCCGTTCACCTGCAGTAGGGTACTCGCCTGCAACTCTTTAAAGCACCTCCCAACTCCACATGATAAAACGTTTGTAACAGAATCCTGTCATCGCCAGTGCCAGAATATACCATAGGGCTATCTTGTGAGATGGAGGACCTGCTATCATATTCGATGAATGCGCCTGCAAGTACGACCGGTATGTGGCTTGATGCTGAAAAGCTGTTCAGTGGCTAAATCTTCCTGCTTGACACAAGAGCTAATTAATCACAGTATACAAACAAATGCAAATGCGCATCAGAGACCTGATTGCTGTGCACAAGTTCAGGCAAGAACACAAAAGCCCCAAGAGCCCCAAGAGCATATGCACCTTGATAGAATCAGTCGAAGATATCCGAGCGCTCGACCGGAGATATTTCCCACCTTCCAAAGGCCCATCGCGACTCCAAAACTTGACTGACAACGAAGTTCATAAGCAGGCTGGCCAGGCACAAGACTGGCTGTTCGACCTCTTAGACTATCACAATATGGTATTTGACCGAGCGCATCATCTACGAACGTTCAGGTCTGCAATAGGAAAGGAGATGGCCGGCCAGCAAGAACGCTGGTCAGAGAAGGAGCGTCTTTACATGGCTTTGACCGATCCTACCATTTCGTCACCAGGATACAGACTGAAATTTGCACATATTTTGGTGCTGCAATTGAACCTTGCGGAGCGCCTGCAAGATGTTAGCAATTTTATATCAGTGCGTATGGAGCGTATCCAACATGCGAAGGAGTTAGATTCCGATTTGGGCAGCACACAAAAAGCCATTGTCGACAAGATCACTTCCATTAAAGTCGACCACTTTGCGTGTGCTGTCCCACTTTCATCTCTCCAGCCTTCTGCTGGTGCCTCCATGGTTGATCAAAATGCTGGATCTTGTCCCGTCTGCCAGAACTCTTACACTGATCTGTCAAAGTTCAAAATCCAGGATCTGATTGCTGACTACCCTGTTCGTATTAAGTACTGTGGACACATCTTAGGGAAGTGCTGTCTCGAGCAGTGGATGGTCACACGGAAGATCGACCCGGCCAAATACCCGCACCGAACTTGTCCGCTTTGTCGGGTACAACTCGAAGGCGTACGAGCACCTCCAATGCCTCGCTTATTGAAACAGCATCTGAAGAGCGACCGCCGGGCCATGGAAACTGTGCAAGACCTAAAGTATGGCTTTGAATTGGAACCTGAAGATTGTCATGACGCTGTTGCTGCCTGCTTAAGCATGAGCATCGCATGCAATGAGCTGTTGGCCATGATCCGTGGTCAGAAGAGTGATGAACGCAACGCAAGCTCTGATGAAGATGAGAAGATATTGGTTGAGAGGCTCGAAGAAGTCAAAAAGGAAATGAGAGCTTGGGGATTCAGAGGAAAAGCTGCATGGAAGGACATCTGTAAAGAGTGGAGGGATAGTGGTGTCGTACGAAAGGAGTGATCCAAGTAACAATGACAGCAGACTAGGGGAAGATCACGGAACAAGACAATGTAAACGGACGGGTAGAAAGAGCTGGGTAATAGAGTACAAGAAGTGTACAAGGAATTGTGCGTCAGGTCAACTTCTGCATGCCCTGTACCGTGAATGGGAAGCGATACGCTCACATCTATTCCAATTTAAGCTCGGTCGAAACCAAAAGGACGTCCACGAATATATCCAAGACGTGCTCCTGAGCGATTAAAGACAATGTTCGACTTGCATAGCCACAATGCCTCTCCCCGCTTGTTCCCACTTGTTCCTGTCTTTACCCCCGCTGGCGTTCTAGACCACTTGGCGTCCCCGTAGGGTTTACCGCTTGCGCACACAGTCCATTGAGGCTGAGTGCATCAAACTTCCCAAACCCAGGGCTTTGGAACAGCGGGCAGTCGAGCCATTGGTTTCACTTGATTTGAGAAATGATGTCATGACGATGATGTCGCGTGTGCGCTTGTCGCCACATCTTTTTTGCTGGGCGGCGCTTCGGCTTGGCAAATAACCATACAGTTCCTCCTGGAGTTTGTTTTTTTGTTTCCATAGCTGTCAGGCTGCTTACGCAAAAACACACGGGATATTATTTATCACTATCGTTGATCGAAATATGAGTGGATGCCACGTTGTCGATTCTGGGGTTAGCAGAGTAGGTCTTGTCCCACCTAACTTATCCCAAGAAGTTGCTTACGTCATGCGACTCTTTCTGTACTACGCTCTCCACAATCCTTTGCTGTCGCTGACGTGAATCTATCTCCAGATCTTGGGATCACGAGAGGATCAGGAAGACAGGTATATCGCGCTCCACCCCGGGTCTCTGAAGTCGCGGAAAGAGCTTGCGCTCTTCGCCGTTTACGATGGACAGTAAGTGTCACATCATCAGCTATAGCTATCAAACTAACATCATTACAGCGGCGGCTCAGAGGCTGTAAATCACGTGTCACAAAACTTTGTCACACATCTCGAGCAACACTTTGGCAAACCAAAAGAATCCACACCTGAAGCCTACCACTTAGCCATCCAGCGAGCACTGAAAGCTGTAGACCGAGACCTGGATAGAGCGGATCTCAGCGGCGGGTCAACAGTAGCCCTTGTTCTCATCGACACCAAACAAGGTATCCTCGTTCAAGCCAATCTCGGTGACAGTCATGTCGTCTACGCAGATCACCTGCCTGAATCACAATCGCCCACTACAGGAAGCGGAAGCAGTGATAGCCCCATCGATGATGACCTACCAACCGGGTGGTCTGTCGAGACCCTCAGTGAGGAGCATGCCCCAGACAGCCCGGCTGAGAAGAAGAGAATCGAGGAAGCGGGCGGGGAAATCAATTATGGAACTGGTATCGCTAGAATAGGAGCCGTCAACATGTCTCGCGCACTCGGAGACATCGACTACAAAAAACCTCGAGTAAACCGTCTGGCAGGTCACAACTTGTCCGATCTCCCTGGCGTCGAAACCGGTCTAGCTCCCGGCGCAAGTGCAAAGCATGACCTGGTATCGAACAAAGCACATTTCGCAACACGCCACCTCCACGGCCAGAGTCTTATCCTCCTCGCTTCCGACGGCGTAGGCGATGCAAAAGATGCAGAGGAAGTCACCAGACTAGCAGTTGATCGATGGAAACAAGGGGTCTCAGCAGCAGTCATTGCGAAGGAGCTCACGAGTAGAGAGGGCAAAATGAGGGGCGCTGACAATTGCACGGTCATTGTCGTAATCCTCGATACGGAAAAGAAGGGACGAAGATCAAGATCGGATAGCATGCGCGCAAGCCTGGAAATACCAGATATCGAAGGAAGCGGGTCACGTCGGCGAAGGAGATCATCGATTGCTAAGATCAAGGACTGGATACGTGATTAGATATCTCGCGAGTGGAAGAAGCTAAGAAAGTGATGTGCTGTCTGTAGAGACAGTCCATTTTTTATTCTTAAGGCAGTCCTCTATTTTCTACAATGCAATACATTTCATTCATGGCACATGTGGGTTCGGTGCGCCCTTTGCGGGCTTGAAAAGTCCTGGCTATATGTAAGTTCGTGAACACACCAGTCAGGTCGTACTTCTTACTCAATTTCCTGACATTGGCAGCACTCTGACTAGCAATGAGATCCTGGAACTGGCCTGATAATTCATGTAGATGTAATAATTGCCAAGGCCCTTTCTCTGTGCATCAATATTGATTTGATTGATAATTGTCGAGTAGAACCGGAGAATGGCTGCGTCGTCTGCTGCATTATTCCATCTTGAGCTCATGTTCACATGTGTTATTGGTGCGGGTATGGCTCATACTCATGCAGTGCAAGGCCTCTTCCATATATTCTTGACAGATACAAGCAGGGGTTTCCACGGACGTTATATTGGTGTATGCATGTCCGAATTGCGTCAAGACACTTCATTCGCATCGCTGCTGAATTCATTGACTATGCTGCGAGATACCGTATGTCCCACAGAACCAGTAAGTTCTTACCTAGGTTTGCTTGCAATAAACAATGCAGGAACGGGTTACGTTGAAGGTGTGTAATGAGCAGCATGGGCTGGTTGAACAGACGTCCCTCTATTTTGTGCGCATCACATTCAATCAGAAGAGTGATCGGTAGGTGAAAAATTCAACAACAACAACAAGAACAACAGTCTTTTACCACATGTAGCAGTAAATTTCGAGGCAGACAGAAGGCGAGAGGAGACATGAACCAGCACCGCAGACAGCAAGGCTGACTGGTGAAGATACACTAGTATTAACTTGGTTAGCGTGGCGGGACTTCATTCCACGGCACAGGACTTGTAGAGGAACACGTTACACGGCCAAAACTCCTAGACATTATGCCCGAGATGCATGCGACAGTGAGGCGAGAGCATGATGGATTGTATTTCTAGGTCAACTCCATTGATCTCTTCACTTATACTGGCGTCCATGTGTGTGACACGCGCATGTCTACTACCGGCATACTGGGCAAAGAAAGACTTCATATCTTGCACACAAAGCGGGTTGCCGCACCTCCAATTTATAAAGTATACGCAATGAGCGGGTCAATGAACTCCTAATCTATGATAATGGAAGCAGTGGCGAAAAAGCACCAATTTATCGCCGTGGGACAGTTGAGGTTTTACAGACTTTTCTTATTGTTACAAAAGCCGTTATCGACGTTTCATCGGAAATTGCACGTAGGAAGTCCTAGCATATACATGAAGAACTGCACTGGCGTGGTGGTGCAAGAAGCTCACAAATATATTAGTGACGAAAACGGCGCGTATACGTGATGAGCCGGTAGGGAATGGGCCATGGGTCCAAATTATAATCTTGATATCGTTTGGACATGCCAGTATTGCAACCTACTCGATGCAATTAAACTACAGAAATTTTCGCTCTTAGATCCGGACTATCTATAAAATGTTCGATTCCCTTCTACCTCGTATAAACATGATCGCAAACATTCGTCGTCTGTTCACACCATCACATCAACTGATGCTGCAGCCTGCGCTCTCCAGACACTCAGCATTACGTTAGCTATTTTCTTAACCTCGCCATTTGGTTGATCGAGTCCTCCGCTGATGGCATCGAGCAACCGAATTCCTCGCCGTTCTCGGGCAGTGAACCCTTTCTCGATGAGTCTTGACCAGTTCCTGAACCTGACTTCGCAGGTGGCAAAACGCTTTGATATCCAATCGTTTGTGGACACTGGCGATGTGTATGCTATCAAATCTTCTAGTAGGTGTCGATTTTCAGGCCTTGCGAGCCAGTCTGCGCATGGGATACGCTCCATGACTAATGAGCGCCGTGGCCCGAAGTTCACTCGCAAGGTAGCTGTCGATACGAGAAATTCGGGCGATTTGCTTTTCGTGGCGACGGAATATATACTCTTGAAGCTTGGCTGACGGTCCCAGATGCTCATCATGTTGATGGTACGACGGCTTGGAAAACGTCCATGTTTCGATGCATATCGCCTTCCGGATGAAGGGTATGTCAAATTTATGACACCCCCAGCTAATCCACCCTTGATGATGGCGAATGGATCGCTGTAGCTTATTGCCAGGGCCTCAGGTAGGTCGCCAGTAATTGGTCGAGGTAGTGCAAGCTCTGGATATAGCGGAGCGTATTCCACGAGTAGACGCGCATTTCGAGGTCCTGGTACGTATGCCCAACGCATGCCCCTGGGGATGTTCCTATCGACGCTGTAGCCGCCGATCTGATTCAGATACACCCTTTGCGCGCCACGATGGGAGACTGGATCTAAAATGATGCAGGATTGGTCTAATCGTATGATACATATGCAATGATATGCTAAGTCGTGGGTGGTAGCCTGCCTCCAACTGTCCGTCACAAGTTCCACTCGGTATGCATACCGCTTCAAGCGGGAGAGACCTCGTAGTCGCTTGCGCAGTGCGCTGCAGCAAGCACTTGCCATGCCCAAACAATTGGCGTAGGGAGGCATTTGCCTCCAAGCCCCGTCCGCTTTTGTGACTGCTTGACGCGCTTGTTCGGGGGTGTCGATGTCTCGGAATGCATTGTATGTATGGAAGTTGGAGTAGTGCAATGCCGTTCTTTCGGCAAGTATAACTTCATTCGCAATCTCGAAAAGTCTTTCAACGTTCTCGTCTTCTTTTTGTACGATGCTGTACTTGTTCATCTCTTCTTCGGCCAGGATCATTTCCAACTCGCGCCTGATAAAATCAGCGTGAATATATCCATTTGGTCCAGCAGATGTTGGGATTGCTAGAGCTCTTCCATGGTAATTCACTATCTTCTTGGGACCTCTTGGCGCATGCGGTTCACGGTTGTCACCGGTGTAATTGCCCCCAGGCCTCAAGTCAATGCTATCATTGCTCTCAGGACTGTCGTCCTCGTCTTGAGAACTCGTATCGTCGTCCTCTGACTCAAAATCATCGTCCCTGGGTATTTGCTTGTTGCTAGGTTTCATCTTGTAGTTGATTGTGCCGCTTGCTGTTAGAGTATATCTCTCGTTGGTATTAGCACTTTGATACAAGTCTGTAGAGTCTTGACTGAGAAAGGATCGCAAAGCTTTTGGTATACGAATTGGAGATTTCCAAAGCTCTCTGACCCTACCATTGTTGTGGCCTTTGTTGTGCTGTTCACAAAGTTGACAATAGGCATTGTGAGACCGACCAGACTGTTATCTGTAACAAGTACAAAAGACAAAGAATATCAGAAACGACAATGCTAATTTTTTTTGAGATCGCTCAATAATTACTATTGAGCTGGGAGGTATTGACACTCCGTAGTGAAAACCAAATCACGAGTTAGACTTAGTCGGTGAAGGTGAATCTCGCAGACCTGCGCGGTTACAACAAATTCTTGATGCATTATGTTTGTATCTATAAAATCCTGAGTGTTTGCTGAACAAAAGCAGCTGAGCATGGTTCATCATATGCAAACTGGTGGGCGCAATGTAGCACTCGAGGATCGCAAGGTAATGAGCCTTTAACATCCCGCAAGCTATGTAATAAGCCTCGGAAGAAGCTTTCATCACTCCCTGATATTCTAATTTTCTTGTAAATAGGCACTAAGAGGTGTAGTCAACTGCGCAGATACCATGTGCACATCTCAATATGGCCCGTTCGCGGCGTAGTCCTTCACTAGCAACTTTCTCAGGGTCACCCTAGAATATATCAACACTGCAAAACCCACCAATCCATCAACTTCCTTCCCAACTTCGAGCTCATATTCAACTCAGCCCAAAGTTCTCTATTGTCCACTTCGGAATTCCTTCAGGGTGCAGGCTCGGACCACTAAGAAACGACTCCTCGCCATTGCTATCATTACACTACGGTAAAAAATTGTTTACTGTAGAATGGTACGCTAGGGGTTTACTATATAGGTGTAAACTGACCTTGTGTATACCTATAAATAGGTTTAAAGTGGTGGTTTACTTATATTAAAGTGGTAGTTTACTTATATTAAAGTAGTGGTTTACTTTTATAGTAGGGGTTTAAATTAAGTATAAAAAGTAGTTTTATTTCTATTATACGCTATAATACCTATCTAAGACAAAAAGGGGTAGAGAAGATTAGCTTCACGCTATACGCACATATAACATAATAATAAGTTATGATAGTTTTACTAATAGGAGGTGGTGATAATAGAGGTGGTGATAATAGAGGTGGTGATAATAGAGGTGGTGATAATAGAGGTGGTGATAATAGAGGTGGTGATAATAGAGGTGGTGATAATAGAGGTGGTGGAGGTGGTGGTAGTGATAGAGGTGGTGGTAGAGGTAGTAGAGGTAGTAGAGGTGGTGGAGGTGGTGGTGGTAGAGGTGGTGAAGAAGATTAAAGAAAGGAGGGGTAAAATACTTAAATAGTTAGTAGGAAACTAGTTATTATAGTACTACGTAATACTAGTAGATTAATAGAAGTAGAAATAAAAGTAGTTTACTTTTATAGAATATATAGTATAATAAACCCTATTTAGGTTTACTTCTTCTACCTAAACTACTTCTTAGTCTACTTTAGATAAATATGGCTACTGTAAACCGGTTTTGTACCGTAGTGTTAGCGAACCGAATTCTCTGATCCTGGGTCTTCCAGCAATATTTTCTCGTTGAACCAGCCATAACCCATAACCTCGCCATTCTACAAACCTGTCGGCTCGTCAGTGAAGAAGCTACCCATTGGCATTTTGCATCCCCTTGCGGTTTGGATCAGACATCCAACCTCTAAAGCGGCAGTTGCGCCTACCAAACTTGGGTACTTTGAAGGAGCATCTCCGTATAGTCAGAATCTTAGTATCGATCCAATTCCTCGACCACGTCGGCGACCAGAGGCCTGGATCATGCTTGCCACTCAAAGGTCGATGGGGGTAGGGATGAACCTCCAGGTCGGTCATTTTGTCATTGTTACGACACCGTGAGGATCGGTGGTGATTACGTGCAGCTCTTTGCTCGGGCCTACCGGAATGGCCAGACAGGAGCAAGTCCATGGCATCGTCCTCACGAACGCTGCTTCGAGCATTGAACAGCGGTCATTGGCTGCGCTTACGCATAAGTCTGGCATTATGTCGAATTCACAGTCATCAGGGCCCGAAGATTGATCTGAAGATGAAGTCGTTGTGGTCGAACCTTAGTTGAACGATGACTCTTTGGGACATGAGACCATCGAGTGAACTGGGCCCGCCGAGTCGAGGCACCACTCGACGCACAACCAAACTCATGTGGGCACAGTGAAGAAGGATGGTGGTGTTGATGAGGTGCAGATACTGCGTTCATGTAACAGCGATTGGAGGCATGGCAGTACGTGTTACATCCACTATGGAGATATATAGAGGGTCGTAGCTAATCTAATCGCGATGAAATAATCCATTCCTCCTTACTGAGCTGCTACTAGATACCTTGAACATCCCAACCAGCACACAAGATGGTACAAAATGGTATCGAGAAATCTCTTCTATTACAATTCGTGTCTGCATTGCTGCATCGTACGACACCGCGAGGCCCGACTGATGTGGACCAAGCCTATAATCCAGTCTTGGATCACCACCAGGTATATGCGTAAATTTGAAGTGCTAATCAGGACGTACCAGCCGACGCAAAAGGACTTGTTCCACATGCTCGCTGGTATGAAGACTCGGCTTATGGTCGTGGGAATGTATCATAGAACCTACGACATTCTCTGGAATGCCTTCGCATACTTCAAGTTATTGCAAGACAAATTGACAGTAATCAACGTTTCAGAAGGTAATGAGTCGGTGGAAAGGCGTGGTATTATGTTTATGGAGTATTGCAAGCAAATTTGTTTCGAGATGGGAAAGATTTCAGAACTGTAAACTTGAAGTGTTTGACTGAGTGGCTGTACCAGTCAAGAGTTGCCAGCGGACTGTATGCAATTGAGTCAGGACAAGCAGATAAAAGCTGGGTTCAATTGGCTTTTACAAAAAGGATCATATAATTTGGCACTTAGCGTATCTGATTGTCGTTTCTTCATCCATTGTCTCGACTCTCGTATACCAACAAAACCAGCTCACACACAACTGAAAATTGCAAATAAATTCAAATTATACAGAATTTCAATCACATGCTCATAGAATTTCCACAGAAACGCACCCACTTCCCCAGAATCCTGCATGCGCGATCTGTCATGTTATGGCCTCTGATTTGCAAAAGCCCAGCGACTATTGCAATGAAGCCGTAGCAAGCTATGGATACGCTCAAAAAACTACCCATTATAGACATATCATGGTGAACAGGTCTGTTCAACAGGAGTAATAGTTTATTGAGACTCAAGTGATTGCGCATTGTGTGGGCTGGCACATGTGAGCTTTGCGACCTATTCTTGGAACAATTTGTATCAGCCAGGCCCATTTGGACTACTTTAAAATTAGTGATAGCTGAGGTGTCAACTGACTTAAGGCGAAACTTCCTTATAATCTAGTGATGAACTATATGTTATGTACTTGTGGATGAAATCAAAGATCATGTGTTCTGGTGGGACTGGAGAAATGTAGCATGGAGGCTGATCTTGACCCAAGTGTCGTATCAACCTCGCTAAATGAGACCACCTAGTATCCCGTGTCCCAGTTGGGACGGCGGTGTGCCAGCCTTGTGCCGCGCATGGGCGGGGTAAGCGCTGAGGCGTTCTCCAATATTTCCAGTTCTTGGCAAGTGAAATGCTGCAGCGCATTATCTCTGGACATGATATAAGTCATGGCCATGTGGGCGCCTATCTTGAGGTATCTCGGAGGGGAACATACCTATGGCAGTGTAAGCTTAGACTTGAGAAAAGCTGTCTGGCGCACGAGAAACAACATGAGTGGGCGGTACTAATCAGCGCCACGTATCAGCTGCACGGGGCTGAGTGCATTCAGCTCTCTGTGGGGTCGAGCATTCACATTGTATATGTTCAGGCTGAATTCTGCACAGCATCCATCCATACCTGACCCACCATCACAGATAGTCCTCGGTTGAGTCCACTCCACACTTGTTTAGCATGTCACTAAACCACACTTCCATCGAGCAAGATGGCCTAATTGTTGGGCTTCAGCAGCTCCTCATCGGCGAAGAAAGGGACAAAAGCCCAGGCACAACGCTTGCGACTAATTCAGAAAGCTCTTGGTTCTGGGCCGATTTCGTAAGCCCCTGTGGAAGTCTGCATATGTTGGATTTGGCTCCATACACGCATCGGACAGACTCGAATGGCAACACTCTTCTCATCGCGGCTGCATCTTTTGGCAACGATTCTTGGACTGAACAATTGATCAGACAAGGCGCGAATGTCAATGCGAGAAACTTATTGGGTAGAACGGCCCTCATGGAAGCTTCACTATGGGGAAGATTGAGTATTGTGCAGATACTGCTGGCCAGCTGGGCAGACGCAGACCTCAGAGACGAAGAAGGAAATGGAGCGTTCAACCTTGCGAAGCCGGTTGAGCTGAACAGCTATGAGAGATATGAGCGTAGCGAGAAAGAACGTATCATCGAGCGTCCGTGGCTAGACGAGAAACATCGCCTAAAGATTCTTGAGCTGATGAGTCCAAGAGAAGGAATCATTGTCGCGAACAAGGCCGCAGAAGCCCGGATCAACTACGCATTTTTCGATCAATCTCTAGATGGTAAATACACCAATCTTGTCCTGAAGTACTTCCCCACAAGGCCCGATCCATCGAGGCGCCCCAAGACGGTAGCACGAATTGTAGACGGCTCAGTAGCCATTGATGCGATGAGTGGTTGGGTCCACGATGATCAATATACGATCCCAGGAAGCTCAACATGGGAAGTGCTTAAGTTCGCAAAGGATATCATGGTCGAGTTCCCACCGCATGAAAACGACAAGTACGATTTCCAAGGAGGAGACGACCAGAACTACCAAACTCAGCAACCAGTGCAAGGAAGCTATTATGCTAGCCACGCAGAGCCCCAGGTCGTTGTGCACTATCTGAAAGTAAAGCGAATATGTCTAGATGTGGAAGCCGTCTCTACCGGTGTAGCATCTTTGGCCATTCGGGACGTCCAGATTATCGTGAGCAACAGAATATGCCCAATCTGTATGGACTTTATGGGCCATGTCAACAGTATCACTCGGAAGTCTGCCAACTTTCAATTCGTGGCATGGGAAAGATATGTCGAAGATAATGGCAAGCTAGTAGCCCGCAAGATAGAGCTGGTGATGCCGGGGTCTGTTTGAGCGCTGCAAGCAATGCCCGCTTTGTGATAGCGAATGGGCTGTGTAGTACAGAAGTAGAGCTTGCATGAGGATATGTTGGTGGATGTTTCTTCGTCGGATATAAGATGGGATTAATACCTAGCGCGACGCAGCTCCTCACGTCTTTTCTCCTCTTGATTATTTCACCACTTCTTTCTAAATCATACACAATCTACTCATAAGCACGATGAATCCCAGCGTATTTTCTTTCCTCATTTCACTATTCATCATATACGAATTCAAATAGATGGGTACATCGCAGCCCTGTGACAATCACAGTTTTCCTCGATTTGCTGCTGACCTGTCAGCTCCCCCTCCCCCCACTCTACGGCATCGACATTCCATATGTCTTCGAGTGTTGTCACTACTTCTTGATAGATATGGATTACGCCCTTAACATTCCCAGTTCTATGACGCATAGCATCGCATTTGAAGCTGAATTGAGCAGCTAGACGATTACACGCTTCACTAACGCCGGCCGCAATCACCGCACAGCATCGCATACGGGACTGTCCGGCGTGAGCGATCTCAATGACTACGTAATACGATGTATATTACTACGATATCCTCTGATACTCATACCGGGTAATTGCCTTTCCTCTGCCAGCTCTATTTTTCTACCTACGCCAACCAGGCTATCATATACCGACGTCGCACAAGCTTCTACCTAAGAATGTGATTACTGCCTCTTATAATATGCGAACAACATGTTGAAACCTATAAAGCAGACGAACTTGGGCATTTTGGATCCATTGTCAATCCCTCCTGTGTCATAGAACACGTCTTACGGCGTTAGACTGCCGTATTGTTGCAGGTAATGCTAATAAAGACGTCATTTGGCTTGCCATGCATTCGTACAAGTGCATGAGTTGATCGGGAGGATGAGTTTTACATCGTACGTCACATTCATCACAATCAGGCCCTCCCAAATCAAGAATAAGAAAATGAATCGACGTCTATTATGCATGCTAAGCGACAAAAATACAGTTTCAAATTCAATCAGGGGAGAAACGCAGATGCTCTTATCTGAAAATCACCCGATGATTTCTATCCATAGTCTTGTGCTCCACCCTGAAGATTGAGGACAATGCGGGCGTGATGCACAATGCCTACCAAGGGTCTCTTGGATCTTGGATATACGAAAGATCGATGACAAAGGATGACTCTTTAACTACAGAACAGTATCTCGATGCAGACAGGTGTATTTTCATGCAGACACGCCATAGGCTGGCCCGCTCTCCGTCCACTTACCCGGCTTTGCAACTGTGGAATACTCACCAGAGCAACGCATTTCTCAGAGACACATGACATTTGGAATGTACTCGTGGCCCGCAGGGAACCTGAAACACACATCACATCCCCGTATGTTCTTCCGCAGACTGGTGATAGGCGACTGACGGCTTTACATTCCAATACACGTTGGGGAAGCGACAATTCGTACTACATTCCAATACCCCCTTGTCCAAACAACCTCAAAGCTGTTTGGAAGTAGCAGCTTTAATCGCTATCCTGGCGCTATGCCGGTCAAGCTTGTTTTGATCTCAAGCAACAAGAATTCAACAAGCTATCTATATCTTGAGATCAGCACGTCTCACAACATGTCTAAGCCAAGCTTTCTTCCCGTCACTCATTCAGACCTATACCTTCATTTGACTGGTTCCGATTCACAACTTCCCATACCCACGTAATCTCCTTGACTACTGGCTATTATGAGGTCTCTCGTTTTTGGGGCTCTGCTCTTGCGGACCCTTAATGCCCAAAACCTGTCCGATTCTGCAGTGTCTGGCGCAGAATCCGTCTCTGCGAGTCTAGCGCCGCTACTTACTCCTGCCGATATTCCTACTGAATCGCAACTTTCAGAGGCTGCTGCTGCCGCGGCTGCACCTATCACATCTTCATCGGATGTAACGCTGCCTCTTAGCACTCCTGAAGTGATTCTGCCTGAAATTCCAGTAGTAGACCTGGCAGTGCCAACTGATGTGATCGATCCGATTCCAATAGGCACGGAAACTGCCTCTGGTCTCGATGCGTAAGACATCTTCCCCAAAACTGCATAGGTGAAAGCTTATTTGTTTCTAGGCTTCTTGTCAGCAGCATCTCGCTCAATTCGACCAGTTATGCCAGTCTGGCTTTGGCTGCTGCGCTCGTGACTCCCCCAGCATCTGGTGCTTTGGCGGCTGCAGCGGCTTCACCATCAGCCTCAACTACTGTTGGGGCTAACAGAGCTGTTGCTGCAGCAGCCGGTCGCCCAAGACCCAACAACGCTGGTAGTATCAGGCCTGGAGGAGGCTGGGCAGGTGGCGATGACGGCGTCTATGACGGACAGGACTACGGTGATGATTGGGACGACGGTCAGGGTGAGTATGAAGACTCCTACGGCGAGGTCGAGTGTCCTTCCGACTGCGTTTGTGAAGTTGAAAAGCCCGAGTACGACGGTCCCGAAGGCCCTCCCCCACCAGGCTACAGTCCCCCTCCGCTTCCTACGCCCGATTACGAGGAGGATGGCGGCTACGGTGAGGGCGAGGATGGTGGTTATGAAGACGGTGAAGATGCTCCTTATGGCCGCCGCAAGCTCCGCACTCGTCAAGCAGCCTCTGGTGGTTTCGCTCGCTTCAACTGGCCCGGTGCTGCCGACGACAGTGGTGACGGTGCAGCGGATGGCGACGATCTCCCCGCATGGCTCTACGAGTCTTCCGGTGTCCCCGTGCCCCATGCCAGGTGCCCCAAGGCATGCTGCAACATTGGTGAATACGAAAGCAAGCCCACTGGAAAATATCCCATCGACCCAGCTCCCACACATCCCTCGGGCTACAAGCCCGCTCCCACTGGCTACGTAGCACCCTACAAGCCCTCGCAAAGCGCCGACCCATACAAGTCTGGTAACACCACCTCCAAGGACGCCTACGCCACTCCCAGCTGGACCACGCTCTACTCATCTGGCGCCTCCGGCAAGCCCGCAGACTACACGGGGGACACTCTCGCCGGCATCTGCCCCAAGACATGCAACCCAGATTCCGACAAGGACTACTGCGACATCACCACCAGCTGCACGACCACGGGCGGGAGCAAGAATTACTGCGCCTGCCGCGCGGGATACATGGCGAGTGCGTGGAACGCAAAGGATTTCAGCAAGCAGTTCCGTGTTGAAGGCCATCCATTTGTCTATGTCGCACCGGGTGTCGTCTGTGATAAGGTCTGTGGAGATTATTCGTGCAAGGATGTGCTTACTAGGCCCAAGTGTGCTTAGAGTTTGAGCATTGTTCTTAGGTCCCTGTGAGGGCTGGAGGTAGAGAAGCTATTTTATCTGTATAATGAGAGATGATGGAGGTGGAGACAAGGTGAATGAATATCTCTTATGTCAGGTTTTATGCTTATCAAGTGCGCTGTGGGGAGATTGCATGGATGGTGGAGTTGAAGACGATGGATGTAATTTATGTATTCAATATGCATACTTGATCTTGACACTGCACTTTGAATCTTGTGATGTGAATTGTATGGGCAAGTAGTTTTGTAGAGGGTGGTTGTAACATGATTAACTTGTCTAAAAGTCAATAGAGGACTACATGGTCCAGAACTATCCATACTGTATACCTGAAAGTATGCCATCAGAAGTTGTCGTTACTGCTTGATAGTTTCAAGAAGCCGTTGCACTTGATACACACTGTCGTGTCGACAGTCCAATCATGCAAAAACCTCCGTAGACCCAAGATCCCCGCCTACCTACCTCTTCTTGACCACGACAACAGACTTCGAAACCGTAACCTTCCCCTTGCCCTTGGCAGTAGTACTCTTCGCCTTCTTCCTCGACTCCACCTCATTCACCACCTTCTGCGCGCCCCTCTTCTTCCCCTTATCCCCTCCCTCCTCATCCCCAGCCTTCCCCTTCCCCTTCCCCCTACCCTTCTTCTCCTTAGACTCCGGCCTCAACAAGCCATGCTCCTTAACATAGTAAATAACGTCAAGCGCGACGTCGCAAAACTCCTGCGCCCCGCGAATCAAGAACACACCCTTCCTCCCACTCTCAATCCCCGCACGCCAGCGATCCACAACCGCAAAGAAGATGTCATCTGGATTTGCCTCCGTCGCGTCGCGCACGCGCACATACTCGCCCTCGCCATCGTCGTCGTGGTCGTTGTGCCAGTGGCCCCTGCCGGTGCCGAATTCATCTCCGATTTCGTACTGCACAAAGGCCTCGATGACCATGAGGGCGATGTTGTGGAAGTTGAGGACGGCGGTGGCGGGCGCGGGGTCTGGTGTGGCGAGGCGTTGTTGGGCGGGGAGGAAGAGGTTGAGGAGGAGGTGAAGTTCTTGGTCTGCGTGGTCGGGTGAGAGGAGGAGTTCTTCGCGGACGAGGCCGGGGAGGGAGACTTTGGCTGAGGGTATGTCTTCTTTTCTTATGACGGGTTGGCGTTGGACTTCGTAGCGTGGGAGGGCGAAGTCGATCGGGGTGGCGGGAGGGGATTGGGCGGTGTGGTCGTCGAGGGCAGAGGAGTCGAAGTTGTTGGCATCGTGGGCGTTGCCAGGGGATACTTCCAGAGGGGCGTGGAGAGTACTGGAAGAGCCTTGTTGCTCTCCAGAAGAATAAGATTTAGGTCGCGGCTTGGGTCGTTGATCCTCAGAGTCTGACTCGGATTGGCTCATAGAATATTCAGTCTGTTGACGCTGACTCTGGGCTCCAAAGATATCTCGCTGGTATTGGAGTTGTTGGGCCTGTCCTGATTGATGGTACTGCCCACCAGCGATTGCACCATTCGAGCCTGGAAGCGTGCCATATTGACCTTGAAGCGTATAACTGGGAGAATATTGGGCTTGACCCATGCTGCGCGGCATCTGTCCATGACTGTAGTATCCATATGTTGGAAACTGCGAGTCCGTGTGTGTGTATCCGTTTGACATGTATGGGGAATAAGGAACCCCCAGCTGATGCGGTGGCCTCATAACAAATGGTGCGGGCAAAGCAGAAGCCATACTGAGTCTACCTTGACCAAAAGTGGCAGACGCCGTTTGTGCCTGAGATCGCGCAGCTTGAAGCGCCTCCTTTCGTTGCTGAGCCTGAAGCTCAAGGAGCCGAATATGGCTTTCTAGATCAGGCTCAGTCGTGTCGACCGAAGGGCGGAGGGATCGTGGTTGCTGGGAGGGAGGATAAGGGTGCTCCTGGAGCTGTTGCCGAGAACCATTCAGAGACGAAATAGCTGCCTCGTAAGTATGTAGGCCGTGGGCACTTTGACATTCTTTATTTGTTACTGTTGAGGTGATGGTGGTTAGCCCAACACCAGACTTTGGGATTAGGATATTTCTTACCTTGATCCTGTAGTACTTCTTCCTGCTTCAGTTTGTTTGAATCGCCCTTACCCGGCTTTGAATCCTCAAGGACGACCTCAGCATCCGTGAGATAGCCATCCGAGTTTGCGACGTCATCAAGTTGTTGGGTCTTAGACTGTTCAATGGCAGGTTCGGGTGGTGGAGAAGAATAATTCATGACCATGTCAGTGTCAATGTTAGAAATTGGGTTTGATGCGGCGACGTGTAGCATCGTTTGATCGTTGTTTCCAAAACTCTCAGTAATCTTCTCGACTTGGTCGGGAGTCGATTGCACATCATCCATAGGCATGTCCATGCTGGCGTCGGCGCGAGCTGTCGGCTGCAAAGGCCCTTCAGAGGGTCGTTCAGAGAGAATCTCGTCGTGTTGCTCTTCAATCTTGATGATTGTGGGATTGCTCTTAGGTGTCGCTCCATTGGAAGGAGGCTCAGCATCAGTCATCTGCTGGTCATCCCGGCGCGCATCTGGCTCCGGAAATTGGCTCGTCGGGAGGAAATCAACAGAAGTCTCTTCGTAGCCGAGCTGAGTGTCATCAATTGACTTGATGGATTCATCTTGTCTATCTGGTGAGCTGAAGGCAGAAAGCTTGGCGCCGGGCAACTGGAGTGTAACAGTGAGCTGCTTCACCCTGGTTTCGCTGCCCAAGGTCACTGTATCAATGTCTTGACTCGAAATGTCATCCATTCCATCTTCCATAGTCATGTTGTCGCTGTATTCAAGATGGAGCGGTGTTGAAAGCTCAGCTTCTGGCACGGCATGACCGTTGATACCCGAACGTCCATCATGCGCAGTTTTGTTGCTGTCTTGATCTTGTTTGTGGGCAGTAGTCTCAAGACGTGACTTTGCTAGAGTCTTTGAACACTCTTGAGTTGTGAGCTGGCTTGGTCTATCCATGGTGGCAAGCTTAATGGGTCCAAGCAAGGTCACAGTCACAGTCACCTATCGCAACGCCGTTAGGATCGCCACAAACCATCTCTGCTCTTATACTAACTTACTATCTGTGCTTCAAATAAAGATTGAGACAATATCTCAAAATGACTGCTATACTATTTCCAGCGGCCAAGTTTGGGCGATTTGGTTATGTGTGTGGCGAGAAATATACGACAAAAGAATGAGGCGCGGACGATGGCTGCTTTTATACATTGAGCCTAGCAAGACGCTCCTGCCTTTACCTGGTTTTCCAACCGTGTTTTGCATCCGTCTCTCACCTATCAGGAGCGCTGTAGGCGTTTGCATGGTCACGGTCCTGCTTGAAGAGTAACTGTGAAGAGCTGAAGCGATAGCAAAGACCGTACGCAAAGGGTTGCTTAGATGCTATCAATGAGGCCGCAGGCGAGTAGTAGAAAGCGAGATATCGAAATTGAGTGAGATGAAAGACATCAATCTCGAAAAAGTATTCTTGAACTCGTTGCCATTGACTAAACATCGTAATTGCCAAGCCAAAGCATCATAACTGCATCTAGCTCATGTCCAAGAATAGAACGGAGCTATTGTACATGTATTGTATACGCTGAGGCAACTATTTCATACAACAATCTTGATCATCCATTCTTGATACTTGTCCTTCGAACTACCGTTCAATCCCCTCAATCAGCCTTCGAACAAACCCGTCGAATAACGGCGCAAGCGAACAATCCCGGTACTTGTCCACCAGCAAACCTCCCTTATCCCCTTCTGCATTACCTTCGCCCGCCAATACGCCCCCACCAACAGCTGTACCCTCCACCTTTGTACCCTCTGGATACACCGGCCTCTTGCCCTCTTCGATCAACACCACAAACGCCGGGTCAATGGGCACGCTGCCCAAAAACGGAACCCCAAATTCACGCGCCATGACCTCGCCTCCGCCCTTGGAAAACACATTTGTGCATTCGGAGCAATTTGGACAGACGAAGCCTGCCATATTTTCAATGACTCCAAGGACCTTGATACCGGTTTTTTTGCAAAAGTTGAGTTCTTTCTTGACGTCGGAGATTGATATGGCTTGGGGTGTTGTTACGATTACGGCGCCAGCAAGGAAGGGAATATTGACTGCTGTGGATGATGTAGTGGAGCGTGGAGGAGGTGACGTGGATGTCGTGTTCTTGAGCAGTGTTTCGAGGAGAGAAATATGCTCGTCGCTCGTACCGGGTGGGGTATCAACCAGGAGATAATCCAGCTCTGGCCATAAGACATCTGTGAGGAATTGTCGCACCATGGCTGTTTTCTTGGGTCCTCGCCATATGACTGCGTCCCCACGATTGGCGAGTATGAAGCCTAGGGACATACAACTCAGTGCTCCGACTTCTTGCCCGGGTGCCCTGCCATTCGTGTCTGCATTCCGTTCTTCTTCTCTGTCACCAATACTGTCACCACCTCCCCCAACGCGACTTTCTCGCGCAGGCAATTTCTGCCCCTCATGAACACCAACCGGTATCCACCCTCCCGGTGCCTGCCGCACCTTCTCGCCCTCGATGCCAAAAAACCGCGGTATACTCGGTCCCGTAAGATCGACATCCAATACGCCCACACTATGGCCTTGCAGCGAGAGGGTAAGCGCGAGTTGGGTTGTTATGCTGGACTTGCCGACGCCACCTTTGCCGGAGAGGACGAGCACGATGTTGTGCACGTTTGTGAGGGGCATTGTAGTGGGAGTAGAGGTTGTGACGTTTGATTACAGCGGGGTCGTGGACAGTTGGTTCGGTGTGCTGGATTTGATGTGTGCTCAGTCCGGCGCATGTGGCGGGATCGGAAGGTCGGAGAGAGGTATCTGTCTAGGAGAAGGGCCCATTATGTGCAGAGGGAACTTTGTGATGGAGCGCTTTGAAATCATGGCTGCCCGGGTGTGGCGCATTGACTAGCGCTATCTACCTAGCGGCCGCTTCGGAGGTGCCACACTTTGTGGCTTGGCAGTCATCGGCGGCTGATGTCTTTCACAACTCCTCGTCTATCCCCGGTAGTGCAAGAGTCTCGACCTCCATCGATTGGGAGCGTTTTGCTGCTTGAAAGAAAGAAGAAAGATAATCATCAAGGCAATCGCTCGTCAAACTATGCCCAGGCTACTTCAAAATCGTGATCGCATCCCATCATCACCTGCAAGCAACGGCCGCCCTCTCGCCCCCGCCGTCCTGTATAGGTGGTATACCGGTACATCGTGTCCGAGCCCACCTACTCCTTCCTCAAATTACTGAACCGCCCACCCAACGGACTGCCTGCGCGACTCCTTGTCTTAGGCTGCGGCGTAACGCTTTGCATCCTCGTGCCAACACCCTGCCTCCCATTCTTCGCCCTCAGCAGCTCTTCCTCCTTCTGCGCCAGTGCTTTCTTCAGTATGACGTTCTCGTTTCTCACACTCTGAAGCTGTCTTGTCAAATTACTGGTTTGACGGTCCAAGTGCAAGGCCTTGAGCTTCGCGGCTTGGCCGCTGGCTTGGTACGTGAGCTTCTCATTTTCAGCGGTGAGTTGCTGGATTGTAGCTTGAGCAGCTGAGAGCGACTGCTCAGCAGCGCGCCGTGCCTCCTTTGTGTATTCAAGCAGGGCATTGGCAGAATTACAGTCGTTCACAGCGCGAGTTCGTTCAAGGTGTGCTGTTGCGAGCTCCTGGCGTAGTCTAGTAATCTCAGCGGTCTTTTCGTCGGTTGAGAGAGCATCTGTAGCCCGCTGTTCGTCTAGTTGACGCGACTTCTCGTTTGACTCGGCTGTACGTGTAAGAAGACGATCGCGTGTGATCTCAAGGTTTTTAGTTGCAGCTTCCAGCTTAGCTTCCGTGGCCCTGTCATGGTCGATCACGATCCGATGCTCACGTCGGAGATCTTCATGCTCAGTCAATTGTCTCTCCCACATTTGCAGTTTCTCCTGTAGAGCTTCCTCCATGCGGGCTAGTTGCCTACGAAGGTTCGATTCGATGGCAGTACCATTGAGGTTCGCCGCAGTGCCCGGCATAGAGTCGCTGACGTGTGTGACTTCTTGATCATTGTTAACACTCGATGTGTTGTGAGGCTGAGGCGTGTAGCGCATCCGCTTGGCCGAATCGAGATCCTCGTCGTCCTGTTCAGACTTGTTAGCAAAGCTGATCTGATCCTTCATCATGCATATTGGCCTGACGTACCAATGGGCGCTTGTTACGCTCTGGCGCGGGAGGTGTTGTCAACTCTTGTGAGTATAGCACTTGCGTTTGATACTCGATGACATCTTTGATACTACCGATTGAGGGCAACGAGCAAGGGTCCCCATTGTCTCCGGCAACAAGCCAATCAACAGCCATCCCAGCAAGAACTGAAGCACGCTGTGTAGCCTCGTCCACGGGCTGCCCAATCTCGGCATTCACGCTCATTTGAGCCAAGCCTGCGACAATGGTATGCAATTGATCCGGGTGACTCAGAGACTTCGATACATAACGTTCAATATGACCAACAGTCCGGGGTATAACCAAATGAAAGACAGGCACATTCTCGCGAGTCGGAGATTGGGCCCAATTCTTTTGTCGTATCTTGGCTGCCTCCTGCATGCCATCGAGGCAGAGAATGACATCTGGGGCGCGAATTACAGGTGTAGCGCTGCTAGGAATAATCGTAACTGACATGTTGCCGACTGTGGACATTATGTCCGCTTGATGACCCCTGGTTGGCATACTGTAGTTTATGCATTTAGCCTTGCAGAAAATCTCGATGATGTGGAAGAGTGCGTCGTTATCATCCGCTATCACCAACACGACATGCTTCTCATATTCTCGCAGGCGGTGAAAGAAGGCGTGTAAGAACCTGAACTTTACTGAATTCTCCATGCCAAATTGGGCTGTGAACTCCACCTGAGTTGCACTCTCACCTATCGATGACCATTCAGCCTCAGCAAATACCAAGTCCACATGCGTTTCGATAGCTCTAAGATAGCTGAGAACCTCCTCAGCCTTTGATAATGGGGTGAAGCCAAGCGGATCTTTCAAGAATTGCTGTAGCAGCTCTTTGTGCTGCTGAATATGCGCAGTGTACATATCCAGTTGCCGCCCTTCAATGAATAGTGGGATAATGTATTCGTCTGGTTCCAGCTGTAAGTCGTCGTCTAAGAGGCTTTCGCTATCCTCATCGTCTGCGTCATTGACTTCAACATCTCTGGAGTCTTCTGAAGGCAGCTCAGGATTTGCCTCGACCAGGACCTCGACATCGGCGGTCGTCGGTAATGGCTGAACAGAAATCTCTTTGTTTGCATCTTCACCCAGAGTCTCTGGTACATCATTGCTCGGTGGAGCGATGACAGCACTCAGGGATGTTGGTGCGGGCGGAACGGGCGCATGGTCAGGTACCGCTGATGGCGATCTTGTTCCATCGTTGCCAACAGGTGACGCATTCGCTCCAAGCAGTCTGCGCGCCGATACTGAGGCAGCTGAAGGACTTGCAGAAGCCGGGGTCATATTTGCATTGAATCGCCGTGCTAACCGCCGCGAGGGGGTGAATGGATTCTCGGCACGCTTCTTTTCCAGCGCCTCTTGAAGAGCTCGCTTCACCTGGTCGCCAGCGCTCTCGCCGGACATTTTGGGCGAAGATGTCGGGAGTGGTGTGCTAGGTCTTGATGGTAACTTTGAAGCTACGGTAGCAAGCGAGAAGTTTGGTGGGTTGAAAATCGGTGAAGAGCTGCACTCAGATCTCAGTCGCTCCGGCGAATCCTGGGACGAATCGTGACGTGACGGAGAACTGCCACGTTCAGCTACTTGATATTCTTCCACAGTTATTTCTATGCTCTCGGTGATGTCTTCTTGTGTGCCTAGATCAGTTTCAAATGGGACAACCTGCGCGATCCGTTCGCGAGATGCTGTAGACGGTTCAGTGGAATGAGGCGGTTGTGATTGACGTGCGAAAGTCCCGCGTGGAATAATACCAGACACACTATGTGATCGTTGAGTCGCTTGCGAAGTGGTGTTGTTCCGTTCAGCTCCACGCAACTCCACTTGAGCTACTCCTGACGATGGACTGCTCGGAGACTCTCGTGTTGCAAGCTTTTTTAGTAAAAGCTTTTCTTGTGCCTCAGCAAGAGGAATCAAGCCGAGTGCTGTTGGGCCTGGTTGATGAGGCTTCACGTGAGACAATGAAGATGGAGCGTTGGTCTCCCCGAATGCGGTTGCTAGAGCACCTGGAGCTAACGTGACTTGGCGTGGGGGCAGTGCGACGCTAGTAGCACTAGCCTCCGCAGAACTGAGGCTGGGGACACCACCGCCAGCCACCTCGTTCACCTCTTCGTCCAATGCCTCGTGAGAATTCTGGAAGTCCTGAGAGTGACGCAACGGATGCTGCGATTGAAATGGGAATTGCGTATGCCCGTCGCCCAAATTAAGTTCAACTGCACTAGCTGAGCTTTGAGTTACAACAGCCTGTCCACCGTTCTCTTGCCCAAGGGGCTCCTCGATCCAACTGTCGATATCCTGTGCTGGCCGATTGGGTATTATCTCGTCCTGAGATTGTGTATGCGGAACTTGTATAACACTTTGAACAGTTTCATCTAAAATAGTTGATGGGTCTTCCGGGTTATGAGACGATTGAGGCACAATGCTACCACAAGCGCTCTCAGATCGATGCATGGGCCCTTGATGTGCCTGAGGTTCCTCTTGCTGGTGCTTTTGTACGTGCAGGTTTCCGCCTTGGCTGCTCCCTTGTATTCCTTGACTCTGGCCCTCACTAGTGGTCGCAGAACTGTCCGAAACTTCAATCACGACCTGTGTCTGGGTGTTGGATCCTGAGATCTCAATTGGACCCTGCGAGTAGCCAACCGTGTTCGAGTCTGGAATTGTCTCTGCAATCGACCGTGCCGGCGATAGCCCACCCAGAACACCTTGTTGTATAATCTCTAGAATGCCTGAATCTGCGTCTTCGTCGTCTTCGGCCTCCTGTAAATCGGTTGTGGCTGTACTTTGTTGGTTCGAGTCCTCGGAGTGTTGTGTTGCAGGTAGAAAGCTCGCTTCTCCTGCGGAGTCCTGGCTATCTGGTATAATGCTGCCCGAAGAATATGGATATGAAGGTGCGCACGTGGCAGCAATCAGCTGTGAACTGTCGAGATTGGTTGATTGTGATTGAGATTGAGATTGAGATTGAGATTGTGGTTGTGATTGTGAGGTGGCCAATTGAGAATAATGTTCGTATTCCTCAGCGTCAAAGCTACTGCCACGTCGAAGAATAGTTATTCGTGGGGATTGGTGGGGTGACGTTCGCGCATCTAGACCTGCACCTACCCGTACTGGTGATGTCGCAGCACTTGATGCAAGTGATGCCTCATGTATGATGCTATGGGCTTCAGGCGTCGAAGGCCAAATATCCGATGTTGTTGAACGTGAAGTAGACGGTGAGGGGCTAGTTGCTGGGACAGCCGCCTTGTGACTGAGATGCAATTTGAGTTGCACTGGTCGTTCTCGATCAGTCGTACGACTCCTGGCTTTACCCCTCCTACCGGTACCTTTGCCAGTGGTCCTATCAGTCCAACCCTTTTTTGTCTTTTCAATTTCCCACGAGGCCAGCAACAAGTCTGTACAATTTTGTCTAGGCTCCCAAGTTGGTTCCCACGGCACACCAGTCCTGGGATCAAGTCCCTCCCACTGAACTAGGTATTTCTGCGTCTTTTTCTCGACCTTCTCGTCAAGTATTGCCTCGGCAAGCCAAAGGTTGTCGTCTTCGTTGTTCTGTCCCTTGGCCTGTATTTGTGTCTGTGAATCTGCTTCGAGGTCGCTAGAATCTGTGTATTTGGGACGCTTTTCAGGCTTGTCGCGAGTAGATGCACGCTTCCGCTTTGTGCCTTCCATTACACCAAGCGACTGGTCAGAAGGGTGGAAGGAAAACTGATGGTTGCCGACATGGTTAGTAAAGTAGAGGCTTGTGAACGCGTGTTGGACCCTGGGCCCAAGTGACGGTGTCAAGCGCGCCAGTGCGGTCCCCGCTTGAACACTATGCCTGGCGCTAACGTACCTAGTGAGACGCGTCAGCACGTGAATGAGGGAAAACGCGTCAACTGGTACCGGTACGTCTATGTAAGCTGCATTTGATACCTTGGATTAGGTGAGTATACGCAACGCGTGTGAGTGATGGGAGATGGCCTACTGCATTGCAATCGATTTTTCTCACAACGGTGTGAGACTCGGCCTTAATACGCTCAAGGAGGAGAACCGCCCCATACACAAACACCGCCGATGCAGCGAATAAGATGGAGTTTCACAGAGCTTTACATTCAACACTTTCATTTACTCCTATGAAATCAGCAGCAGTGAGAGAAATCACATCTATCACTTTCATTCTCCGTGCCGTCAAGACAAAGTGAGTGAGCACTCATTCATTAATCAGCCTATGTAAAAAAATCGAAGTTAATCACGGTTTCATTAGACTTGAAGATAAAACAACTACAGATAATGTTGCAAGATGCTCGATTTGGCTGTCACTTGCAATGGAAAACAACACTCATTTCAACACCCATTATCTGAAGTACTCTGCACTGATGTACAATCATGGATCAATTCCTTTGCAAGCATGATGATCCTTTCCCTTGGAAGGAAACATCTTGAGGGTTCCCCAAGACATTATAAAGTAAATCTCCAAGAGATTTGCTAGTACGCATGTCCTCTCCAACTTTATCTCCCTTGCCAGCGTATGTATCATCTCTCCCGTTCCGTCTTACCTCTCAGCCATGTACTGGAGCACTGGAATGTAATCAAGCCGAAAATCATCTCCGTTGTCGAACAACTCCTGCTTCCCCTTAATCTCAATACTTTCCTCCTCCACGCTGTCCACGCTGACCCCGATGCCCCCGATGACCACCATTATAGCCTCCTCTGGTGTGGCTATTGTATCTACCGCCCTGAGGTCCGTCTTCCTTCCCACCACTTCCGCCTTGATAGCCATGTTGATCTTGACCATAGGGCGCGTTGTTGTAATAACCATGATTATTGCCATGCTGATTAGCGTATGGGTTGTTCATGAAAGGAGCATTCTGCTGCGTAGGTATGGGCAGCGGTGGGGGAAACGGGCCACTGTAGTTGGGCGGAGGAGGTGGTAGAGGAGGAACAAAACTTCCTGACCCTTGAAACTGCTGTGGAGGTGGAGGCGGCACAAAAGGAGGCATCGCGTACTGCGCTCCATACGTTCCTGGGACTGGGGGTGGAAAAGGAAAGTGAGGAGCACCGAAAGGTGGTTGGAAAGACTGAGGGTATCCCTGTGCATGGCTGGCCGTCGAGGGTGCTTGTGGAGGGAGCGATGGTGGTACAAAACCTCCCAAGTGTCTACCGGGAGGAGGCGGAGTCGTAGTGGTATTGGCTCCGTACCGGTACCGCTGCGAGTTCGATTGCGAGGAGTCCCTACCATACGGTGTAGGAGGTTGTCGTGACTGATCTAATCTTCGATCATTATGATCCCGGCCTCGTTCATCACTGGAGAAGCTTTGACGACTTTCGGGTCGTCCGTCGCGCGGTGACCTCGAGGGTGTGCGCGAATTATACCGATCATATCCTGAGTTGTATACCCGACCGTCCCGACTGCGCTCTTGTCTAGGTTCAGACGGTGAAGATGAATGACGACGGCGTCGGGGTGATATGCTCCTGCGTTGGCCTTCGCGTTGTCTCTGACGTACTTCTCGAAATTCCCTTGCGTCCTCCTCAAGCAGGGCGAGGTCTTCTCGCGCTGTTTTAATGTTTTGTGGGACTCCGTGTTTCTGCATATCCTGGCAAAATTTGACCGACCACCCGTAGCCGTTGCAAACAACTGAGACCTCACCCGTCTTCTTCTCCTGCTTCACGGTCTGACCAAGAGGATCGAGCCAGAGTTTGTATTTCTTTATCTCTCCAGTTGGATTGTCTCCAGTAGGCATGTACTTGAGATCGATGTTGTCAAAAAAGTTGTCGAGCAGCTTGCGAACATGAGGGGTAACAGGTTTGTTGTCGAGCTTTGCGATCTTGATGCGATGGGGCTCGATCGGTCGTAGGGGCTCCCTGATCATCGGCTCGAGCATGTATGCCGCAGGCAATTCAGACCAGGGTGCATTGCGATCGCCGTGGTATTCTGGGAGAAAGTAGTTGCGCTTTCGCACTGGCGTGCCGCCTTGCGCAATCAATAAACTCTCCTCGACCCTGTCGCGACACGTTTTTATGGCCCCAACCGTGAGAAGCTGATTCACCGCCCAGTAGTTAAGTAGGGCCATGAGATCCTGCTCAATTGGCGATGACTTCGTGTTGCAGCATGCAGCTGTACGCGCAAGGAGCTCTGTTGTAGATGGTACACACTCTTGCCCGAAAATGCCCCTAGGGGTTGTGCTGCGAGAATGGAACGTGTCAGTGTGGAGCACATCACTGATTATCAGCAAAAGATCAAAGCGGTTGCGTTTCGCTTTCGGAGCCGCTGCTCCTGGCTGCTCGTCTACGACTAAAGACTTGGATACGGAAACCAAGTAGTTGCCGAGGACCGAGATACGGGTCCTGGAGAGAGTTATGTGCTTGACGATCCACTCTGTGCATTTCTACATACGGAGATTAGTCTGCTCCCATGGATATGTGATCAATGGCATGAGAAATGGGGTACCTGAACGTTCACGGACGTGTTCTGTTTGAGAACAGCATCAACATGGCGGAAGAACTCCAGGCTGTCTTCAACAGCAACTGGTGGCAGTTGTGCCTCATGGTCTTCCTGCTTCAGGGCTTGCTTGAACTTGAGCTGCGCAATCGTAAGCATGCTCTTGGCACGCTTCTCGTCCTCGCTCTGCGCCATGATGGCGGCGCGGATCGTGTGCTGCTGCTGCTGCTGTTGCTGCCGGTTGGTGTATTGTGAGTGCAAGTAGGCTGACAGGAAGTCTCATGTCATGTTTGGAAAAGAAGTGGGCCCGTGCGACGCTAAGGCTAGCGCATCTTCCACAGATCTGCCCTCTGTGTCCCCCAAGGGAGCTTCAATCATGACTACAAATGATGCAATTGAGGACGAGCTGACGTCCATAAACTCCATCTTTGACGAAGGGACTCTCTCAGCAGTGGATACAGAGGCAAGAATATACAGCCTACAGCTACCGTCTCTTCCATCAGTCATACTCCGCATCGAATTTCCACCAGACTATCCAGATGCACCACCTTCGATATTGGGCACTCAATCCGTAGGTCAGGATGTCCCCAAAGGTATGGGCACGCGGGCCGTGGACGTCATTAGGGATGTCTTGGCGGAGGTGTATCGACCCGGTGAAGCGTGCATTTACGATTTGCTCGAGGAATCAAGAGAAGTCTTGGAAAGGGCAGAAGAGCAAGGGGAAATACATCTACACGAGCGATTTGAAGAGTTGTCAGTAGACCATGAAACCGCTAGACATGTCCCTACGCCGACCATCGATTTAGGCCCAGAACCGCCTTGGATCATCGCACCCGCGCTCGTTGAGAAGAAGTCAACGTTCATAGCCCGTGTGGCGCCAGTCTCGTCACCAGCACAGGCCAAGCAGTACGTTGCCCATCTTTTGGCTACGGACAAAAAGGCTGCCCGTGCAACTCACAATATGACTGCTTGGCGCATCAAAGGGCCCAATGACACCAGTTATCAAGATTGCGACGATGATGGTGAAACAGCTGCTGGGTCACGTATGCTGCATCTCATGCAGCTAATGGATGTATGGAACGTCATGGTCGTAGTGACGAGATGGTATGGTGGCATACTGCTTGGACCGGATCGTTTCCGCATCATCAATACGGCAGCACGAGAAGCTCTTATCTTGGGGGGGTTTACGAAAGACGGCAAAGACAATGATCCTAAAAAGAAAGGGAAGAAATAGTCGATGGGTAATTTGCCACTGATCGCCTCTTGAACTCAATACTGGATAATCTACCGCCTTTTTCAGCAGCTGGGAGCTGTTCTTTTGCGTTACAACTTAGCCAATATTTGCGAAATAATATTCCTTGCGGGCGTGTAGCTGCTTTGACAAAGTGTAGCCTTTCTCTGGTCAGAACTTTTGGCAAGGACTTCGACATAAGAAGTCGTGAGAATCTGAGATAGCTTACTTCAGTCGTCACAGGTCACGAGTCTCGAAGGATCACATTATGCTTCTCACTGTGGTGAACTGATGCCCGAATACCCCTGCACAATTGTGATGTATGAGAAACGAAGTCTACAGATCTTGCCCCGTTTTACCTCTTGTAGCAATATTGTAACGCAACTTCCAACAACAGGAGTAGTATGAGTAAATGGAGCCATACAAATCGCCAGACAGTAGACCTTGCACACCACTCTGTCTTTTGCCATGGATGTGCGTTACACCTTGCGTTATATACTGGACCATGACGAGACATTATGATCATTCGCCCTATACTCCCCCGCCATTCTCGTCAACATAGCTGACATATATCTCGCGGATGCCTTGCAGGCCATGTACATGTTTAAGCAGCTCAGGAATCCGGATCTAGCAGCACTTACTAGCTACCTCCACAGAGTACTG